TATCAAATGGTAAGATTTCTCTAAAAATAACTAAACAATTTGGTAAGAAATTTTTTTATCAATTTTCAAACATGGCCGGATATGGTTTTCCTACAAGTTTCATCGGTACGACTTTGTGGTTGTCGCCTAAATCCGTATTTTAATTTGAAATGGTCTTCTTGTTTTAATATGGCAAAATTGCAATTCCGGTAACTACATTTTACCTTGTAACGTTAATTTGGTTTAAAAAAATTTTTTTAAAGGACCTTTCAAAAGAATAGTGACATTAGCATTTTTTTTAACAATTTGCTTATTGTGGTTTGGTAATTTGCTTTCGATTATTTATAAAAGATTTTGATTGTTTAAAACAATGCTGCATTTGGAAATAGAACTATTAAATTAAAAAAAAACGAAACTATATACTGATTATACGTTAGAGAAGAAAATAGAAACACAAAAAACAGAAACAAAACGCATGTTTTTTCTGATAGTTCAGATGAAAACATTTCTGGTCATATAAGTCACATGAACATAAACTGTGTACCATTTACTCTTATATAAATTATGATATACAATAGGACTCGTTTGCTTTTGCAAACAAATTGAGTCACTAGCTTTTTTTCCCTTTTTTTACTGTTTATATATTTAAAGAAAAATGTGCTTTTAAATAACTGATGAAATTTTAATGTAGCATAATAGGTACACAGTTTATGTTTTTTATGTTTGTTAAGTATATTTTTTGAATTCACGAAAAAATATTATAAGAAGTATATCATCATGCTTATGAAACGTGCTTTCAAAAGTTATTTCATGATCATGCATTTGTTTAAAATATTTAATAATTAAAATGTGAGCAAGATTAAGCTTTGAATTTGTCTTTGCGTTCATGAAACTTACTTCTAAAAGTTATTTCATAATCAGACATTTCTTTTAAATGTTTAATAATTAAAATATAAGCAAGTTTAAGCTTTTAATGTATTATTACGTAAATGAAACTTTCTTCTGAAAGTTATTTCTTAATCGGACATGCTTTTAAAAAATATTTGATAATTAAAATAAAAGCAAGAATAAGCTTATGATTTATCTTTGTGAGCATGAAAATTGCTTCTAAAAATTATTTCGTAATCAGACATTTCTTTTAATGATTTCATAATTAAGATAAATCACTAAAACATAATTAGTTTTAAATTTTTTTTCTTCCTTTTATTTTTTTCGTTTTATAAAAGATTTATTTTAAATAAATTTTTTTTTCTAAGATATGCAGCTAAGAAAATGTAAGATAGAAAATATTATTATTTTTTATTAATTCAATTAGCGCTATTCCAAGCTTTTTTTCGAACTTTAATTTGGAAACTTCGAGTGTGGTCTTAAGCTTGTACACTTTGTTCTGAGAAGGAAATGGCTAATTAATAAATTATATAATTCTTATTTTACCGCATTTTATCAAAATAGTCAAATAATCAAATACTGTTAGAATTTTCATTATAAAATTACGGTAGAATAACCGGCAACCCTCTGCCCATTCAAGTGACCGTGAAATTCACGGTATAAAATATTTTTGCCTTTACGGTTTTGAGACCGTTTGCAAATAATAAGGTTAAAGAGCTACGAATACAAAACTATATGTTTTTTTAACCATTTGCGAAGAGTATGATTTCAAAACCATTAAAAAGAAATTTAACTAATTATAGGAACTAGATTTTACGTTAGGTAATGGGCATTGGAATAAGTTTGGAATTGAGTTGTGTTTTATCGAATGATTTATACTTGAATGAGAGTATCGTGTTCCAATAGTGCAGGATCGCAAATTGGTAAGTGTAGAAACTCTTCATGTGTTGAAGGGAATGGAGGAAATATTGTGGCGTCAACTCTGGGACTCAAACCATTGTCCTGTCGGTCATGAGATTTACAGATAAGCCCTCATGATAATAATGCTGCAGGGAACTAAGTGTCTCTATTAGGTGAGCCTTTTTGGTGTGATTAAATTCTGATTGCTTAACCGTATTGGATGAAAGCAGTTAAGTGGCTTTTCTCACAGTTAACAGTTTAAATACCATCTCATTTATGGTTATTTGTTTGAATAGTCTTTTGTTTGAATAAGTTAAAATAAATAACAAATAAATTATTATTTAACTATTTTGTTTCCAAAAAACTTCTTATACGGGTAAAGAAGATTGTTTTCAAACTGTTAATCATGAGAAAATCGTTTATTTACTGTTTTCATCGATGCGTAAAACGGAGGAACATCTAGAACTCTTCGGATTTCTAATAATCTTACAGTAATAACTATGTGATGAGCATCTTATGAAGCCACTTAGCCTCTTGTAGCTGGTTACATGCTTAAACTTAGAAGGCTAATCAATCACACTCATGTCCGGCTAAATGGGGGTTCAAATCCCAGCGTTGACAACAGAGCATTTCCTTTATTCCTTCAGTCCATGAGGAGTTTCCAGTGACTCGCGCTGCTCAGTTTGTGATCTTGGACTATGAGAATACAAACCTCTTATTCACACATGGACGTTAGTAACACAGAGAGGATTCATGCAAAAGTCTAATCTGATAATAAAATGTCACACCTCTCATGATAGCTGACACAACAAGAGAGACTAATAAACAACATTTTACTGTTAACTTGACAAAAAACAAATCAACTACATCATAACTACAATATCCATTACCTGACAGAAAGCCTAACATAACCTACAGTAGCACTCAGTTTCGAAACCATGCTAGTTGTAATTGGTTAGAAAATGGTGTAGTTTTGTATTCATATGGTATTTTTAATCATGCCAGTTGTCAACAGTTTCAAACCCTTAAAGTTAAAGAAATGTTTCGTGCAGTAAGATTTGCGACTATAGATGGACAGAATGCTGGCAATTACCGTTATTTTAAAATCAAAACTATATCAGTGTTTATAAAAAAACAATACAGATCTTGCTGATGTTTCAACTCGCGAGTGTTAACAAAACATTTAACACTATCAAATGAAAATCAGTTTGTATTTTGCATCACTTAATTCAAACTACTAATTAAATTTGATAATTAAGACTAAATACGTTAAATTTACTTTCATTTAATTGTTATTAATTATAAAATTTAAATTGATAATTAAACTTTAAGTAAAACTGATTCAATTTATTGAAAATATTTTAGAGCAATCATCATAATCAGTTCTTTTTGAAAACTCAAAAGTAAATAAAAGAAAAGAAAGGAAGGAAGGACGAATTACCCAATTAAAAGGCATATTTGTCTTCTATAACACTTTCTGCAAATTGGTTGGGCTAAATGTCTTGCTTATTAGTAGCATCCAATCAAGAAGTAGTTTCAAAAACATATTTCATTTTACAAGATTATTACACACAAAATACGTTAACGTTTAATTTAGATATATTTTCTTTCAATTTTAATTTTTTTCTTCTGTTTCTGAAATATTTCTCTATCAGATATTTACAATCTACTAAAAAAATATTTACTTGCTCAAGAGATTTTCTAATAAATAGGTTTTCTACAATCAGTTAGAATCTTAGAGAAAATAAATCAAGTTGGAAAACATTTCTTGACATTCTTTCGACTTTTTAGTCTTAACGAAGGTTCATCAATCACTCTATAACAGACAGTTACACATTATTGACTTTTAAAGCCTAATGACAACAGATAAAATAAATCAACACGCCGTGAACAGTTAATTTTTTAAGATAATTTATGTTATTTTATCAATTAAAAAACTTTCGTAATTGATATACTAACATTGAATGACAATATCTGATTTATTTGTTTTTAACTGAAATTATTTGAGGTATAACTAACCAAACAGAAAAAAAAATTATATATACATAATTCCGTATTCACATTCTTTTAGAAATAACTACGCTAACTTCCTATCACTTGCTTGATCACTTGCAATCCATCAATGATCAATCAGTCAAAGATGCAACGAATAGGAATACGTTTCTATTGGAATATCGATACGAATCGTCCAATCAAAACAGAGCAAACATATATTGACTGAATGATAATGGAACACTGATTTAGTTTAGCCTCAGACTTTTGACATCTTTTTATTAAGAATTTCTCTACATATAATTTGAAAAGTAGTGTCTAGATATAGTAAAGATAGGTGGACAACTTCTTTTCTAAAGTTCGTAAAACAAAATAAAAGTATTTTGCGAAAATATATTGTATTTTTTTTCCTAAGAGTGTTACGTTTAACAAGCAGAAAACCTCTAGCTCGTCGCACACATAGAAAATCACTGCCAAAAAAAATGCATGTTTTTGTTAAATAAGTATTTATTAACGCAACATTAATTTAAAAAAATATTGAGTGGCAACAGTTGTTGCGATTTGTGGATGTAATTAGAAGGTCGTCACAATGTTCTATAAAAATGAAAAGTAAAAACCGTTTCAACCGAAATNTATATATATATATATATATTAAATTTCGACATAAATTGAAAATGGGGATTTTTTAAATCTCTTATAAATCTTTACTTAATTTAAAACATTTTTAAACTCACCAGTAATGAAATATTTGCATTTTCTTCAATTTCAAGATGCAGTTTTTGATATCGTTTGGAGTTTTTCAATTGCGTACAATTCAAAAAGAATTGAAATGATTATTTATACCAAGATTTACTACGATGACTGAAAGGTATCAAAATTGATACCTGCTGGTAACGTTACGCATGGCTGAAACGTGGCATTATGCCACGATTAAGCAGCTAATCAAGTTCGATACACACGTTGCTTGCAAGAATCCAACTGAAACTGATCCGAAAATTATTTCAGACTTATAATAAACTAAAACATAAGCACGCATTGCACAACCACGTGATTATACACAACCATGTCATTTTGGAGGTATTCTTCTTCTCAAGTCGCAAGTATCCAATTCGGAATACCATTTCGTACATTTTACAAATGGCATTGTCTATAGAGTGCGCATGAGCAAGAACAAAAAATTAAACAAGATTTTCAGATTTTACCAAAACAATCAATTTGGAATCATTAGTAATCTTCAAAGCTTCCTTTCATCAAATCAAATAGATATTCACAAGTACATAAAATACAAACAGCAATCTTGTTAAATATATGTGCATAATAACAAATTGAGAGACAATAGCAATATAAACATTCATCTTATGCAGCTTTCTGATTTTTATCGCCCTATAATTTACATTTGTGGGTCAATATCTGGTAGTTGTCTTCTTGTTATGCTAATAGTATATACGCGTGATTGGTAAGACCTCTATGAATTTGTTAGTGTAGGATTATATTGTTTGATATTATATGGTAAAAAATACATTAAGAGGTACCCCAAAGTAAGAATTGGCAAGTTTTTGGATCCAATTGCGTTTTTCCTACTAAATTAACAAACAAAAAAAGCAATTAAAGAGTTAAAAAATTATTAACCGAATGGGAATGATTTTTAAAACAAAATAAATAAAAAAAGTGAAATAATATGAAAATGAAAATGCGTATTATTTAATATGCATTGTAAATAAGGGAATTACGTCTTACCTTATTTAGATGTTTTTCTCTGGGTTTGCAAAAACAAACGAAAATTCTCTAATCGTGGCGACCAACTTGGCTGTAATCCAAGAGGCACTTCAAAATTTAATCATCTAACCGAACTTATCACATCAGTTTAAAAATATATTATGCGAAATTAAAAGTTTTAAAGAAAATAAATTTCTAAATGAACTTCTTGAAATCTCGGTATACTAGGTTTCACTGTTGTTGATTGGTATATGTTTTGTATGCAAGACAAATATCCGAGTAAATGTTTTTTATTTTATTTTATTAAAAATAATTTAATAAATTTGTAATAATTTGTTTTTTTAATAATTAAAAAAACAACGTACCAAGTAATAATTACTGACTTGGAGAGATTTCAAAAATCCGCCAAAGGGATATTATCTCTAGAATATTACCCTGAATACTTATTGTCGTTGAAATCACTTTTGTTTCAATTTTACATTAAAATTACCTTTGAAGTTTCCTACAAATTATAATGAAATATTTCCCCTTTTTTCACTTAATAAATTATTTCGCTAAGATTTTAAACATTATTCAAAAATGAAACTTTAGAAAGCATTTATTTTTTATGTTAATTATTCGTTAACTGGTTACCAGACCAAATATCTTGAACTAAAATTGTCGCCAATTAAGCCAAAAGTATAAGGAACGAACATGGTATAACTTTACTTAATTAACTATCCTGAACCTGTTAGTAGCACTTTCTAGACACTTCCAAAAGACTAGAGTCGAAAAATTAACTGACTGATTCAGTGTTGAGGTATTTTAAAGTCGCCGAACTTCGTCCAGAACCTAACGCATAATTATCTATTTTATTGTGGATTAAACTTGAGTATATTATTGTTCAATATAATTAATCAATTAAAACTCTTAAATACAACAAAATATAACTTCTTAGCTAATATGCAAAAATTTCGATTGTAAGTAATTTTGTAGCAATAAAAATGCCTTACTTGTAAGACAAGTCATAGCATTTTTGGTGTTAAAGTGCCAAGTGTAGCAATCAGGTTTTTAAAAGCTAGTTATTTCTCGAAATATGAGGTATAATTTTGCGTTTGTTTCAAATTTAAAGTAGCTTTAACCGATGCTTTATACCGTAATGATATTTTATATTTTCACTATCATGTTCGTAAATAAAAATCCCATTCAGTTTTAAACAATGAACAAAGTATAAAGAATATACTGTATATAAAATTCCTTTGCTTTCAGATGTGTTTAGTTTTTAATATTTAAAAAAATTTCGATCAAAGTAACACCTGTTTAGTGCTTCTTAAGACTATTCACTTATTTTAATAGAAATTTATTTAACACAATGAAGATGGTAGACTATCGTAATACATTGCACAGGAATCTACGAATGAAATGACGCTGCAAATCAACAAATAAAAAATATTTGAGACATTTAAAAATAATTTAAAAAATTCCGCTGCGAAAAACATAAGAAAAATTTTATATGAATGATGAACTTTCTATTTTTTCTATTCACTTTATTCTCAGAAATATTAACGTATCCTCGTTTCATTAACTTTCGTTGAATTTTCTTTGTTAGGTCTAGTCTTAAAAATGTCTCGATATCAGTTCCCTAGACAACCTGTAAAGCAGAAGACCTGTAAAATATATTTTCTGTGGTCTTGATTTCATAAGTTTTGTTTACGATAACTTACCATGAAAGCAAAGAAAGAGAAAAAAATAATTATCACATTTTGGTAAATTGTTACTATGGTAATATTTTGACAGTATCCTTATTTTTATCATGTATTTTTAGCACGATACATCCACTATGAAAAGATTGGATGTAAACAATTTACTCATTAAAAAAATGACTCTAAGAAGTGTTGTCAATGACAAAATTTTTAAATTACCAAAATTTATAAAAAATGCCCTTTTATAGGGTAGAGACTATTTTAAAAGACCAAAAATACTCGTTTTTATTTTTTGTTTGTTTAGTAGCACTGGTTGACAGTAGTTAAGATAATCTTAAATTAAGAAAAAGAATACATTTCTACTATTCTGAGATTCCATTGAATAAAGATAAATCGACGATGTTATTTTGACGGAGGAAATTTTGTTAGCTTTTTTCAGTAAGTCTGGAAATCCAGTTTTGTCTGGAAATCTAGTTAAATTTATGCCGAATATGTTTGTTTTAGGATCACAGGCAAAGGCTTTTTTGAAAATGGAAAAAAGGAAAATGTTATTAACGTTAGCACTAAAACTCAAGACGCATTATTTAGTGAAGAAGAGTTTGAACAATCCATAGAAGAGACTGAGCAAACTAAAGAAGAATCTGAAGTAGAAACGGATACTCCAGAAAAAAAGTTTCTGAAAAGGTACAGAGACAGAGGAAATCAAACTGACAGTTCTTTTCAAAACAAATATAAACATCTGATTAAATCTAAAGATAAGAAAAAGAAAGTGGATATTATTTTTCAGCGGGAGCGTAACAAGTTAAACAAGTCCAATAACAAAAAGAATGAAGACACGCAAAGGTTTTGTCATGATGAACGTAAAATAATAGTTTCGGCTGCAAATATTCCAAAAATAGTTTCACTATCATGTTTTAACTCCAGTCTAGGATATCATCCTGCAAAATTGGAAGAAAGAGCCTATCGAATTTCTCGATGGATCAAAGGTACCGTTTCTGAGTCCACTTTGGGTTCGTCTACATGGAATCCACATTGTGGCATAGACATGCATGCCAAATCACACGTAGATACAAATGAGCGTGACATTCATTGGATAAAAGACACTGATGCAAAGCCTAATGTCGATGCAAATAAGCGGGCACCTTTCCTGACCACTGATGCTACGTCTAATAATGATGCAAATAAACGGATTCCTCATTGGATCGAAGACACTGATACCAAGCTTAAGACCAATGTGTACGAACAAACGTCTCATCATAACAAATACACTGATACCACGTACGCCAACGATGCAAATAAGCGTATAGTTCACTGGATAGAAGAAACTAATTCTAAGTTTAAGAATGATGGAATTAACCAGATCTCTAACTGGGTTAAGGATGTTGATCCTAAGTTTAATTCTGATTTGAACAAGCAGAATTCATCTGCAAGAAGCGGCCGTTCAGAATCCCTAATAGCTAGGTTAGATGACGCTATACATTTTTTAACCATTCTCAAATCATCCACCGCTCACGATGATATGAATCAATTGGAGGGAATATTTGTGATGAAAAATCCTGAGAATGACAACAATTGCTGCAAGGTTCATGACAAAGACATGGAAAAAAGAATAGACGATAGCAGTGATGAAGCAGTAAATGTTCGTTATTTGGAAAAGATTTGCAAGACGCCTAAACCAAATGACCTTGCCTCCCCCAAAAGCGTTAAAATAAGGAAAAAAGTAAAAACCTATTTGAAAGGCTTGCATGAGTATCGCCATATTGATGATAACGTATTTCATAAAAACTCTCGATTAATGGATGATTTAGTTCAATACTGGAAAGATCGGGAAAATAGCAGTGGTAATAGTCATCATAAAACAAGTATTGATGGCTCTTAACTATCTACAAGTGTCTAAAATTCACATCTTTTACCGTTCATAATTTACAAACATCATAGTAATATACTTACAAAAAAAAAAAAAAAAAGAAAAAAAAACCTGAACCAAATAAAAAATATTATTAAGTACCTTCGCTGCTTATTTTTACGATAGTTTTTTTTTCACCTGAAATATTTCACACATAAATTTTTATCGGAAAAATCTTTTAATCTTTCTAAAATTTAAATCATACACCAATATGTTGTAAGTTAGGATATTCAATTTTTGCTGGAGAGTTATACGAATATCAGGTTTTAATCAGTAGTAATGGTAGAATCAATTGAGCTTGTAGTATTTATTTTTACAACATTTAAAAACCTGTTGACAAAACTTGCATAGAGTTTTCGTGGTTTGTGTTTTTTTAATACATTTATCATCGTAATTTTTTTACTTAAATTATTTTTTTAAATTATTTAAAAAATGTATTTGCTTAAGTAAATATTATGTATTTTAAATTGCTTCTAAAAAATTATAATACATTGTATATTTAGCNAAAATATATCACAACTATAATAATATGTATAATTAACTATGTTTTAGTTGAATTTATGAACTGTTACAATTGGCCCCGTAAGTGGGGACAATTGTAACAAGTGCACGACTGTAAAACATTGCTAATAACTAATATAATAACATTTAAAATAAGGTATTCATTTTTTTTTCAAGTAGTGGATAGTCTACTTTACTCGTCTGTCAATTAATACTAATAATATATTGGATTTTTTGTTAGTTAAAAATAGTTAAGTAAAAAATGTTACAATTGACCCCACTCTCCCCTAGTAATGGTAGAATCAATTGAGCTTGTAGTATTTATTATTACAACATTTAAAAAGCTGATGACAAAACTTGCATAGAGTTTTCGTGGTTTGTGATTTTTTAATACATTTATTACATTTATTACATTCATTACATTTAATACATTTTAATACATCATCGTAATTTTTTTACTTAAATTATTTTTTTAAATTATTTAAAAAATGTATTTGCTTAAGTAAATATTATATATTTTAAATTGCTTCTAAAAAATTATTTAGCACAATATGTTCACAATGAAATCAGAATATTATATTATTAAGGAAATCATAGGTTTTTAATTTGCTAAGGACCACAATTTTCACAATTACAATAGAAGGAAGCAAAATTCAAAATGGAACGTTAGAATCAAATGCGTATATTCGACCAATTACTTTTACTATTTAAATCACGACTGATTAGTTTTTTCTTTTTTTTTAAAGAAAAAGAAATCGCCAACAGTATTAAGTAATAAAGTTTGAGATTTCATTTTTGGAAAATAAATTAACTAAAGGAATGAAACACAATAAACAAATAAAAAAATAAAGTAATAAATAAATAAGTAAGTATATAAAAAAAACTGACATATTTAGGTAAGAATTGGTTTCCGACCACAATTTCCATTTAAAATATGAGAGTTTATATTATTGTTATTTTTCTTCCAATAANTAAAGTAATAAATAAATAAGTAAGTATATAAAAAAAACTGACATATTTAGGTAAGAATTGGTTTCCGACCACAATTTCCATTTAAAATATGTTATATTATTGTTATTTAGTTTAGAAATATAGTTTATATTATTGTTATTTTTCTTCCAATAAATAACATATTTTTTCAATTGGCAAAAATTGCGTATTTTCTCAGTTTCTTGAAATGAGTTACAAATTTGAAAAGAAAGAAGGAAAGAAATACAATTAGTTTTTCAAATATCAAAAAATGGTGTACTTCAAAATTATGCATCCATAATTTTATTTAAAATAACACTAAAACTGCCATGGACAACTCATATTTTTGACAAAAGTAAAACTTTAATGTCTCATAAAAGATCTTCATTCATTTTTAATGCAATTAACAAACGGTTAAAGCACACAATAATTCAAAATAATGAATGAATACTGACATTTTCTCTATATTTTGCCTTTTTTTAACTCGAACTTTATTAATTAGAAAAATAGAATTATTATAAATTATTTTTACTCATTTTATATCAAAGGTTTGTATCATTAAGAATCAATAGATGGCAGCACAAAAACATTCTTCATTAATATCTTTTTGAAACGCGAAGTATTTTTCGTTCTTTATTTCATAATTAGCAAATATAAATAATTTATTAAAAAGTATAAAAATAATGTAATTTTTATTTTTTCAAACAATATAAAACTTTCTCCAAACTTTGAAACATTTAAATTATTCGCTTGCGTAAGAATTTTTTCCTCTTCTGAAATATATTTTACGCAATCAGTTAAATCATTACTGTGAACTCTTGGATACATATAATGAGGACAAAAAAAAGTGAATATTAAAAATAACAGAAAAAACATAAATTTGCACTTAAACAGAGTGTTTTTGTCAAATTTCTTTCTGTGAAATATGCTTCAGAAAATGATCGAAAGATGTCACTAGTAAGCATAACTTCTTTGTACGACCTCTTCGATAAAAAGGTCTCACATAAAAGAATCGATACTATTATGTTTGAAACTGACGCATACTACCAAGAGAGCTACTGACAGCTAAATTGACATCATAAGGTATATCTTCTTCAATGGGTGTGGTTGCAACAAAATGTTAGAAAGAAAAAAGAAAAGATATCGAAAAAGCAAGATGTACAATTAAAATTTAGAAATTTAATTTTTTTACTTTTTTGAAAAATTCATCAAGCAATTTATCCAGTAACTTGATTCATGAGAAAAATTTTCCAGCGAAAAAGCTTAATACTTCTCGGATACTTGAAAAGCGGATACTTGAGAATGAAAACTTTTTAGCAAAATGAAGAGATTAGAAAATTTTTTTTTAACCGAATGAAAAGATTTTTTTTAACCGAAAAAGAATTTTTTTTTAACCAAATGAAAGAAAGATTTTTTTTAAAGCAATTGAAGAGATTCGAGTAAGATAATGTTTTAGCAAAATAGTTTATGAGGAAATTCTAGAATGATTTTTTTTTTAGTTTAACAAGAATTTCTAGAATGAATTTTTTTTTTTACGAAATAGCTTATGAAGTGGTTTGAGAAAGAAAACTTTTAGTGAAATAGTTTATAACGAGCCTTTCCTATTAAGGGCGCAACCTATATTCATTGGACTAATTTTCGCGAATGAATTAGAGAAAACGAAGTTTAAAAATTATTCTAACATTGAATCAACGCAATAAAGCAGTAAATCCAAAAAAAATTATTACGTTAAAGAAAACAAAATGCTAATTTAAAATATTGCGGTGCTAGAGTTTTTTTCTCGTCGCATTCAAATAAATAAGCAGCCATGCTAGTCACTTTCAAATTAAAAGGGAGACTGCCATGACTAGATTAGTCAAAAACTTACACTTAGACAAGGAAAATAAAAATTAATTAATTAGATTTAAATAGCTTAAAATATCTAAAGTACAAAATTTAAATGGTTCTGATGATAAGAATATGATAATAAGAAGGATAAAAACTAGATGTTTATAAAATATAGCTTGTGGTTGCAGTGACTTTGCTTACTGGATAGATATTAGTTGCTTGTAAAAACCATTACAGAAAGTAAAAAAATTACTCATTTGTAGAAAAAAGTCTACAAAAGGTTAAAATTTTGGAACATTATGCGAGTATCATGAACATGAATTCGAAATTCAAGAAAGGCTGCTATTATTAAAGGAGATAAAAAAAGTTTGAGTGTTTGTATTTTCCCATTTTTAAAATTTTTTATTCGATAGCAGAAGTTTGGTCAATTAAAACTAAATTTCAGATTAAATCATTTGCAATAATTAGTTTAAAATGTTGCAAATTCCGAGAGTAATGAGTCCAAGGTTAAGAATGATGATTGTTAAGAATCGGAAACATTTCGAAGAAAAGATATGTTTATTCAGATCAAACTTATTTTGTCTGATTTCGCGATTTATTTAATAGTTAGAACTTATATTTGTTAACATATTTGAGGCTAACCTTTCGTACCATAAAGAGAAAATCTAAACATTAGAACTTAAGTTACACTGGAAAAGACATTCTGTTACTCGCTGTTTATCCCCATGTAGAAATATTCCCTTTAAAATTAAATATTTTTTAATTAAATCGAAAAAAATAAATTTTTTTAATTAAATACATTTATATATATTTTTTTCTAATTTATTGATGTATAATAGTAAATGATAAACTGATTTATGCATTGATAAAATTAAGTTTAATATCACATTTTTTGGTGAATTTTTTCGTTTACGAACACAATTCAAGATATAATTTTCAATGATCTGACCCCTCGCTGTATATCTCCGAATAATTAGTTCAAGAGATTGAGTCACGAAATCAAACATTGTATAGCTATTCGAATAGTAGTATTACTAACTATAAAAGGTCTATAACAGTAATGTAGCTAACTATAACAGAAGTCCTATTTCAACTTAAACAGTCAATTAAACATTTCAACGTATTTGAATGATTTGGAGTATATTCAGCTATTTAAAATTTACATGTGGGAAATTTGAGTTTACAAATTATGATAATAAAATTTAAATCAAATTCTATGTCTAACTAGGATTGATTTATGATGCAGAAAATATTTTGACGCATATATTTTACTTCTGCTGTTGTCCTGTCTGACGCGTTGTTCAGCAAGAAAAGCTTCCCATTACTTTTAAACTAGTTTTTAGATTTACTTCACTTTTTAACTTGTTTTGGTGATTTAAGTTTTATGAATCTTTTTCAACTTAGAAACAATTTTTTAAAAAAATACTTACGTCAGCAATAAATTGACTGATTATTAAAAATCAATATTTGCTATCTATAAGCAATTAATAGCCATTCTCTACAATACATTAGTAGACAGTAAAAATGGTTTTTCATAATAAGGAAAAACTTTCAGCTAGTGGATTTAATAGTCTTCAAATTCAGATTCTTCATGTTCCTTATTTAGGCAACTCTTATTTGTTTCTTTTACATAAAGAATATTGGATCTTGTCCTTCAATTATTTGAATGAAACTGG